AAAAAAAAAAAAAAAAAAAAAAAGACCTGGAAAAGAGCTTGATGTATCCTTCTCAGGCCTTGAGAGCATATATTCTTTCAACAAAATTGAGAGGAATTCCACAGCCTGAGTAAACAAAACCTGTCAGTAAAGACTACCACAGCCAATAGGCAACAACCTAGGGAAATAATGTGTGGCAATTCCAAGTCAAATACATAGACTGTAAGAAGGCTGGGGGGTGCTTTTAAAACTAAATGCATTTTTTTACCATATTTTTCAATTATATATCTTCTTAGATGTTTCTGAATAAATGGAATAAAATTCTTGCCTTATTAGGGTTTAGGATTTGAGAGAGGTAGCCCAGGGAGAGCTGAGGCTCGAGAGTGGGAAACCTGCTTCCAGTCCTAACTCTATTGTTGGCTTTTATTCTGCAGAGCTGTGAAATAGCAGGGCTGAATGAGGCCATTTCCTAAGCTTCTTCAAAAGGAAACAAGAATTCTCCAAAATATATACCTTTGGCCCAGGTGGTCCAGGAATCGCTGCTCCTGGCATTCCAAAAGGGCCCATAATGCCCTGTTCTCCCTTGGAAAGAGCAAAATAATCTTTACATTCCAAGCAGAAAAATCACATGGGGGGATGTGTTAGAAAAAGCATAGAAATGTCTTTAGATTTTGTAGTATTAGAACCTTGGCCCCTTTTAAAGACCAATTCGAAGATAACTTGATCATCGTCTTTAAACCACTGCCAAAGATGTTAACCTGTAAGATTTCAGTGACTTTAAATTACCATAATCAATTTATTCCTAAATGTGGAGGAATCTTTTACCTCTTGTGCATTGTTTTCTTTCTTTCTTTCTTTTTCTTTTTCTTTTTTTTTTTTTTTTAATGTATCTGGTACAGGTCTCACTCATAGTGCCCTTCCTGTTTTCAGCCTCCCCAGTGCTAGGATCATAGGCGTGCACCACCACACCTGGTCTCGGTGGACTGTTCAGCGCACCTGTGGATAGGGCTGGTGGGGGATGTGGTGCCAGGGATTGAACCCCAGTCCCTGCACTTACCTAAGCAGGTGCTTAGTCCACTGAGCTATTGCACTGGCCCTTGTGCATTGTTTTATAAGCTAATGAAAAAGAATATGCTCCAGGGCTGGGAGGTACTCGACTTGCTTGCCTAGGATGAAAGAAGCTCTGTGTTCAATACCCACCCAAAAACACGCACATCAAAGGTGCAGTCCCTGATGTTTCTTTTCACAGTGCATACCAGGAAGCTCACACAAAAATATTCTGTTCCATCATGACAATTTGCTTCACACAAGCTTTAGGGTACACATTGAGTTTCTAAGTCTTTTCCTTTTCCTGCCCGAAGGACCCATGCATGATGCTGTGTCTATTTGCATCACACTTCATCTTGCATTCATTTTAGAAGTGGAGTTCAAAAATTAAAAAAGAAGTTTTGAATAAAAAATATTAAACAGAGCTGCAGAGATAGCTCAGTGAACTAAGCGCCAGCTTAGACAAGCACAAGGACCTGCGTTTGATCCCTGGCACCACATGCCTCGCCAGCTCCACCCCCTGGGAGTGCTGAGCCAGCCACCAAGACTGGGCATGGTGGCACACACCTGCAATCCCAGTGCTGGGAAGGCTGGAAACAGGAGGATCACTACGAGTCCAAGCTGGGTAGTGAGACCCTGTCCCAAATACATAAAATTTTTAAAAAGTTAAGTCATTTCTCTGCCTCCTTCTCTACCCCACCCATCTTTTCTCCTTCCCTTCCATGTTGGTATCTGATACTGATTCTCAGTGGCTCACCCTGGAGCACTGACAACTCCTCTGTCCCATCTGATTCTGGACAGTGAGTCTGAGATTTTAGTGAGCACAGGAATTATCGAGCATTTGGTCGATACATAGTCAGAGGTTCAAGCCCCACAGCTTTGATTCCACATTAAAGGTCTGAGCCCTGGAACGTGCATTTCATGAAGTACCCATGGTGATGCTGGCCCAGGTCCCACCGCCACACTTTGAAAACTGTTGTTCCAAAGCAATTGCTATCTTTACTGCAAGCTGCTCAGAATGACCCACTGGGACATAAGAAGGAACTATTAGGACTCCTCTCTAGACTATTCATTTCATCTCTTAAATTTTCCATAATTAATGTAAATTGCATAACATGTGACTATGATACTTTGTGAATAAAAATTATAATTTAAAAATAAATTTATATTGGAGTGTGATCAAACTGTATAGCCATGTCTCCATCCAAATAAGCAACTACTTTGAAGATAACAATACACAATATATGAACAATTGTTAATATCCTATTGTCTTGTGTGGAATTCTATATCATTATTTTAAGTTTTTTTCTTTAAAATAAAAAAAGTATAGGGCCAGCGAGATAACTCAGTGGACTAAAGCACCTGCTTTGGCAAGCGCAGGGACCAAGTCCCACACGCAATGCTAGCCCCACCCCCAGGGCATGCTGAGCCTGCAACTGAGTCCGGGCATGGGGGTGCAGGCCTGTAATCCCAGTGATGGGGAGGCTGAAAACTGGAGGATCACTAAGAGTGCAAGCTGCATAGTGAGACCCTGTACCAAAATACATAAAATAAAAAAGGGTAAGTTGAGTTGGAAATGAAAGATAATAACTGTTCATTAAAAAGACAGAAAAAAGAAACAGCAGGGAAGATAGCACCTGTACAGTAGGGATGGGCAGAGCAATGTGGCTGCTCCGGGTTTGGCCATGAATGGTTCCTCACTTTCATATGGTTATAAGTATTTATACAATAGTGTCACTTTTGTTTCTCGGCCCACAAAGCCAACACATTTACTACCCAGCCCTTTACCAAAAAACACACAAAACATGGGAAGACCTGTTTAGAGACTGAGGTACATTCATGCCTCCCGGGTCTCAGTTTGTTCACTAATCTCTCTCTACCTGACAGATTCTCTGAACACTCACTGATGCTCTCTGTCTGCAGGGTCTCATGGCCTCCACCCACAGGGATGCACTGCTCACATACTTTGTTCATGGGCCACCTCTGTCTTCCTCACTGAGGCCTCCGCAGTGCAGATGGGGCAGCCCAAGCAAAGCACACCAGTTTCCATCCCAGCATGTATTGGCCAATCCTAATTCAAACTGGCAGGACAGTGGCCACAGACAAACCCTCCCAATGACCCTGAGTGACACTGAATTTCCAAATCACTAGTCTATGCAGAGTGCTTTGTTTGTACCTGCTCTTAATAAGCCAGTACCATTTTTCTTTTTAAATTTTGTTTTTTTACTCAGTTGTGTCCCAAATTTTCTGATCAAGGAGATTATGGGGCCACAGAGGAAAGTGATAGATGATGTAGAGTGTGCCTAAGGAGAGTCACATGGAGAGAAAACATTCTCTCAGGCTTGCACAGAGACCAAATTGGTCGAGCAATGGCTGTGATTCATCCATATGGCTGACACTGACAAAGGATCTGCAAACTGCGGTACACAGTTTCAGGGTAAATCCTGAGGGGGATCTGACTGACCTTGTCAGATACAAAAGTTACATTTCTTGTTATATAGGTCTTGCTTTATCCTGGTCTTAACCATAGAGCAGAAAAGTATAAAAACAAAGTACAAAAAGTAAAGCCGTATTAATATGCTGAGCTGTAAAAGGCTCAAGTCAGCAACTTCTGACATTGCCAGTCCTACAGGTAACCCACTACTATTATGGACTACTGGACTATATTGGAATATTTTGCTAAATTCACACACCTACAATATTTAAATGACTATAGAATACCCATCTCTGACAAAACTAAACAAAAAGGTGGTACAAATGAACGACCATTTTTGTATCTGTATATTCAAAATAGGACAGATACGCAGCTACTTTCTCTTATTTCAATGAATAGAAAGATCTGTTCTAATAGTGTTTGGATAGGATATCATGTCTGCATCTTGTACTATGAATAACCACTACGAAGACAATAACATGCAATGTATTAATTATTGAAACTGTCCTACTAATCGGTTTTGAAACTGTCTCATTGCTATTTGTTTCTCAATAAAATTATTAAAAATAAATAAATACATTTTGTTGTTTTAATCATTCTTACAGGTACTCCTTATCTTTTTTTGTTAGAATTAGCTTCTTTTTTTTGTGTTCCCCCTTTTTTATTTTAAAGAGAGAAAAAATAACAAAAATCAATCCAGAATTTTAAAAACAAGATGATAGGAAATTAGCAATGATTATTCTATTACATATCTTCAAAGTAGTTGCTCAGATTACCAGATACAGGAGAATAAAATTGATCAAACAATATAAGCACTAACTATTGCATTTAATAAACTAATAGAAATTAGTAGTACAATTATCTCAACTATCTTGCTTCCTTTGGTGATCTATTTAGAATTAGCTTCTTTCGGGAGGCACAAACTCTCCCAGGTCGGCATTTCTGTTTCTTGACAAGCACAGCGACCTGGATGTTCTCGCCCAAGGACACGCAGCCTTGCTTGCCTCTCGCAGTCTCCTTCACGTCCTCCTCAGCACCGTATTTTCCATTTCGTGAGGCTGATTTTTTTTCCCTCTGAACAATCGCACATGTTAAACACTTACTAGATGCCAGGGTCCTTGCTAAATTCTTTATTAACTCCTTATGTTTACGGCCTTGTGAAAACAATCCTTTTAGTATCTTCTTTGTGAATTCACATTAGCAGCATGTGGGAGGCTCCAAGCAGAGCCCGGAGGAGGGCCACCCCAAGCCTGCCCCATGCCCTCACTCTGCTGCCTCTTGTCTTGGACTTCTGCTGTTGTTCAGCAAAACGAGATGGTGAAGACGCGACACGTGCTAGGGCTCCAGCTCTATCCCAGCTTCTGAATATTTGGCCATGAAGGCTGACTGGCATAGGAATCTATTTCAGAGGCATAAACATTCCTACAAAGATTGCAGACTTTATACAATCTCTTCATTCTATTCAATTACGGTCTAGGAATAGAAGGGGTCCTAAAAGATTGTTTTTATTTGAGGGGGTTTTGTTTTGTATTTGCTGGGAAGGAAACAAGTAATCAAATTTTCAGAGGACATTAATATTTTATTAAAACCAGACACAATTTATGATCTCCTCAAAGCATAAGTAAAAATATGAGAAACATACCTTTGGCCCTTCCGGCCCTGGAAACCCCCTCTGTCCTTGATTTCCTTTGCTTCCTTTCTTTCCTTCATCACCCTGACAAAGTAATTATAAAAATATAAATGTTGGGTTAACAAATCTTCTCCTAACCTAATAATTAGGGCACTAGAGCCAGCTTCTCAATAAATGCCAATTTTAAAATTATATGTTTAGTTGTGCAGTTCTGTCAATGTTCTTTGAAAAACCGAATGGCTTCAAAATTGTTTACGGTTCATCATTTATTAAGCACAATTTAATTTTTAATCTAAGTTCTGAATCTCTCATTGAGATTGTACTTGAATTTATAGTTCTTTTATACCCTCAGTCTATTAACGGATGGTTCTAAGACATCCACAGTTTCAGAAAAGAGATCTATCTATGCTTTTCATCCTGTTTTTCATTTTTCATCCTATTTCAGTTTCAAAACATTAAAAAAAGACATCTTCCAAGTCAGAGCCCCATTTCAGTCTCAGTGGGCTGTCTAGTTCATTCTCCGAAAGGAGGAACCATGCAGCCTTCTTGACAGGAAGAGACTTGACAGGAAGAGACCAAGAGCTGCCTCCCGGCTGTACCCGGGGCTGTAAACTGCCACTCCCCAGGAGGACTCTGTGACCTGCAACCAGGAGCCCCACAGCATTACCACCTGGGGCTCCGCTGTGAGGGGCCATGGCCCGGTGCCCGCCCAGCTCAACAAAGGAATCGCTGCTTGGGGTTTGCAGCTGAGATCAGCTGTAGTTCAGGATACCAATGACTAAACCGTGGTTTTCCAACCTGAGCTTCAGAATCACCTGAAGGGCTTAGCAGACAACTTTGTGACTTTGAAGGCCTACTCTGGGGCCCAGTAATGGACAGGTGCAACATTTCCAGGTCATGCTGGTATCCCGGGGTAGTTCAAGGGCCACACCTGGATAACCAGTGGACTATACTTGGGTCATCAGCAAAACCCACTTCAGAAACAAGAAGTGGACTCCTGTTAATCCAGAGATATAATCAACACTGCCATCACATTCCATTACATGAGGGTCCACACTAAGGGACATCAGGGACACTGGCAATGGAACAGCTGAGCAGCTTGAGTATCACTTGTATCACTGTTGTCTGAAGAAACCAAGCACAACAAGCATTTCTTTTTCTCCATTCAACTTATAGACCAGAATTACCCCAAAGCAAGAGGAAAGCAACAAACCCTGCACCTACACTGACTGTATCATGGCTGTGATCCTACTGCAAAGTGGCAAGTCTAGTTGCCCCTTCTTATGGTGTACATTATCTTTGTGTACTGGTGGCCTCTACTATCCCCCATTGTTTCCTTCTGAGCCCGTTTTCCTTGGCTTCCCCATTGTATTACCAGATTATTGTGCTCCTGTTGTTCTGAGCATTGGTTCTCCAGCCACTCACAGCGTAGGACCTGAACTTCCGCTCTTTCTCAAAGCTATGATTAACTCTCACAGCTTCAAAGAATTAACCCCACGGTTTTATTTCCCAAAAGAATATTCTAGAAAACATTAGTTCTTCTAAAAGTGCATCATGCTGTTAAATAATAAGTGTTTCTTCTCTTTCTATCCCCTATAACAAAAGGGATCCTACAATGGGTAAATTAATAAGCTAAAAAGTTTAAAATTCTATACATACACTTAAATTTTCATGTCTCAGATTTAAGATTTAGGACTCAACTTTAGTTAGTATTTTTATAAGATAAAATTAAGCTATCAGTTATTATTTTAATAGAATTATAAGTAGAACACCAGTGAGAATATGGGTTTGGGTTTTTTTTTTTTCTGTACTCGTTTAATTCATCCAAACCTTTTGATGGGCATTTGTAACTATATGTGAAAATTACAGGAACTTTAGAAGTTTCGGTTATGTCCCTATTCATCCTATTGTTATCTTGACTTATAAAGATTCAACTAGTATTTCCACAGGGCATAAGATAAATATGCCAATTGTTAACTGAAATTGCATTTTACTTCATTTAATTATTTTTGGGACTGAACTCAGGACCTCGCACATGCTAAGCACATGTACTAGCAGTAAACTACATGTCCAGTCCTCGAAATTGCCAGCAGTATTTCTTGTTTGTCTGAGACCCTGAATATATGAAGAAAATTTACGGGCTTCCAAGTTTCAGCGATGTGTCAAAGGCTGCTTCTTCTTCCTATGGGTTTTTTAAATGTCAGTCTTTCTCTTTATTGAGAAAACATGTGTTGAACTCTTCTCTGTCCTGGGTCTTCTGATACATGTTAGGAAAATAAAAATGAATAATACATACTTGGTGCCTTCCAAAGGCTCACAGGACAGTGTCCACAGTTTGGCGCCAGAAGTAAACACATTTGACAAAGATATCAATCAATTCCAAGTGGGTCCTTAGAATCAGGAACAAACACAGACAGCCTGCCGTCCCTGCACACTGCCATCTGCATACCTTGGGGCCAGGCTGTCCTCTCCCAGGTGGTCCCTCTGGGCCTCTTGTTCCTGGAAACCCTGCTTCTCCCTAGAGGCAATGACACTGAGGTTTTAGCTGGCCTTCCTCAGGCAGGAAGCTTGACTCCCACCCCCACCCCTTCTCCTTCTCCTGCCAGCAGACTCAGCTGAAGCCCTCCAAAATAGACCAGACCTTCACTCCAGTGTCAAAATTAGTTTGGAAGCTTGTCAATGAATAAATTAACATTAAGCTCTAGTTGAACTAGAGCAGCTGAAATACCATGGGAAAGTCCAATTTCTCAGCTAATTTCCAAAGCAGTAAGCCCGCTTTCCTTTGGCTCTTTATTCACATTCGGTAGGGTTTTTAAAAAAAAAAAAAAAAACAAGAATGACCTTCAGCCTTTCCATCTGCTGTTTTTCAGTACTTTTACTGAAAAATGAGTATTTCAAATGCTGCCTCAAAATAATTCAGGAAATCTTTACAATGGCCTTACTTCCTGAATGCATTTACAGACTCTCCTTTTGCAAAGGCAGTTGGAGACTTTTTTTTTTTCTTTACACTAATGTGCTTTCTAGAAATCCTGAGGTAACTAGATTACAGGAAAACACCATGGCCAAATTACGAGAGGGATGTGAGACCCTAGAGTTCAAGAGTTGGTGATCTTTCTAGCTGGGATAAGTGAAAGGGGAAATTTAAGGGTATAAATTGCTTTTCTTAAAGGTACTATTTGTCCTGGAATTACTGCAGCTCTCTTAGAACCAAGATAACAGTTTGAGCCAATAGTTTCTACTGCAATAATACAAAAGTGAGATTCAGTACCTTCTTCCCTGCAGCTCCATCTTCTCCTGGTACTCCTGGTTGTCCTGGGAGCCCTATTGAGCCTGGCTCCCCCTAGTGGACGAACAAAGATTTTATTTTCCTGAAGTTCATACTGCACCAGCACCTCCATTGTAAGCAATTTGAATGTATTTTATCACGTTTGATCAATATCCAGGCATGAGCAATCTGATTGGTAATTAGTAATAATTAAGAGAATGGACCTTGGGCAAATTACCTAACTTCTATGGACTTCAGATTTGCATTCTGCTACTAGGAGTTGATGTGATCTCCAAAAAGTGAACTTGGAAGGATGGCATTGGTAGATTCCAGCAAGTTAAAATGAGGACATCTACGCTACGCCTGGCAAAGACACAGCGCCACAGGCTGATGACCCGTGAGAAGGGGAAAGGAGACTCCGAGCTGTCGGTACAGGCTCTGGAGACCGCACCG